ACTAAATCTATCTAATGACTAAATTATGTTTAATCTTTTCACTGAGCTCATCACAATGCAATCTGGTATTGAATTGTCCACAACGGATACGTGCAATAAGGTGTTTTTAAAAATAGCATAATATACTGTTGACTGTTTGCAACAGTGGCAGTAGGTAGACATCTCACTAGGCTTTTGAAAACAACTTAAAAAATAGAACTCTCATGTTTGAAATACAGTTTGTTGGCATTTTTGAGGGTTAGTTTCTTGTCCATCACTCAGAATTGTGGAAAAGTTCAACTTCTTATGACATTGTCAACAAGACCTTCAACCATCTAAAGATTCTCAGAATTAGATCCCTTATTCGACAAACACCAGTTCTGTCTTTCTCACCCTCGTAGCACAAACACTGCCCTCAGTGAAGCACCAAACCCAGAATTACTAGACTGATATAATCTGCCAATCACATTAGAGCTTTAATCGGCAGATGTTGATGGGATTAATTGGCGTACAGTGGAGCGTATTTTCAGGTCTCGTCTCCATTCATATGCGTGTCTGGGAATAACAGTGGGCTTTATGAATGGCTCTAAGACAGGCTCATTAAGATGGTCAACAGAGGCCTGTTCTCTCTTCACACAGCCTCCACTTACAGTGTCAATCATGATTCTCTCCAAAGATGGAGATGGGAATAATAGGATGGCTATGTTAAAAACAGGGTGCTGGCTGTGAGCTGGCTTTCTGTCATAGCATGTTGTACTAAAAGTGGGGGAAAAAGCTATTGACTGATGCATCAGTATTCTGAATCACTCCACAGAAAACAGAGGTGGAGTGCAATGCTTTGCTTGCTGCCAATTCCACACATACACACACACACACACACACACACACACACCTCAAGCAAGTATCTAAACTTCCACAAAGTTTGGAAAAGATGAATCGAAATACTAAATTGCAGGTTTTATTGCACAGGATTTGTGCCCCATGCCATCATGCGTCATTGTCCATTACTACTGCATACTACATAACTGGTTAGTGGCAGCTTGCGTTTTGTGTATCTTTAGTTGAGCAAAATTCAGGTGTCCAGTCCTGTTTCTGGAGGTCCACCTTCCAGCAGAGTTTAGTTATGTCCTCAAACACACCTGAACCAGCTAATCAAGGTCTTCAGGATCACTAGAAACTTCCGGGTAGTTGTGTCGGAGCTAAACTCTGCAGGACAGTGACCCTTCAGGAGCAGAATTGTCATGGCTTAAGAGACACAATTTCAGACAAAATTATTCTCAAAAAGACACTCTGTCTGTGAGAAACATCTAGTCATCTCCGTAAATAGTAGTAGTTCCTAAAACAAACCGTAATCCTGTAGCCTCTGCTATTTGCCGCAGATCTATGACTGCTCTATTCCACTGGAAGGTGACTAATGGCTATAAAGTGGCTCTAATCTCTCGGCAGAGGCACACCCAGAGCTTTGCTGACAGAGGATGTTCCCATCTTTACAGCATTTCTCGCAGTTCCCTCTTCCTCTGCCTGCCTATTAGACAGACCGCACTGCCAGCATGTGGCCAAATTAGATTAGAACATCAGTGCAGCAGACTAATGAGCCAGCAAGCCAGGCCTGGGGTTCACTGTTTTTATCACAGCTCCACACTGAATGATTTGAGTCATTCTATCACGGATATGTCGTGTTGGAGCCGGCCCTGGCTCTGAGCGTGGGAGGCTGAAGTGCTGCTACCTAGACCAGCACATGAAGTGGCTGCTAAGAGACTGTGAACAGTCAGCGCTTTGTCTGGCCAGCTGAAGACTTGGCAGAACACAAGGAGTCTCGTTTTGCTGTTTTCCCTCTTCATAGCTGCGAGTAAATCCGTGTCTGTCTGTTGCGTCTCTGATGAGCTACAGAGGTAACTAATTAAAGGCAGCTCTAAGTGCAGCATGCTTGGAAATGATTCCATGCATATCCCATCAGCATATATGGTCTCAGATTAACTCACAATGATAGGTTCCTCTCAGGGCACTTGAAGTCGACATGACATCCAAATTGACCCCTGTCTTAATACATGTTCCTTGTTTGCACGATTCAGAAGTAACAATTTTTCCAAAGGAAAAAGTTGTGTCTTTGTAATTTTTTATCAGAAATGAAGTAACGTGCTCATTTTCTGCACAACCATTTTCAGTCCCAAAGAGTTTCCGTCATGTTGCGTTCCAGACCAGCTCATTTGAGTCCAAGTCCAGCCTCCAAGACTAGGATGAGTCCAAGTCAAGACCTGAAGAGGGTCTGAATGATTCAGACAGTGTAAACATGCTTTCCTTTGGGGTGAATGCAGCTTGGTTTTGCATTAGTGTCAAGCAAACTTCCACTTGAGTTGGCACAGACCACAAAACATCTGCAGCATCTCGA